AAATTAATGACACCAATGGTATAAACATGAAAAGTGGGGGAAAAAAAATGTAATTCGAAGTGCTGCTCTGAAACTAACACCTCCTTCCTTATTATGTTGGCCCATGCCATCAGAGGTAGATGGTGGTATGGCAGTAGAGGATGATTTTTCGCACCAATATTCCATTACATGTTATTGTTGTACAACAGAGGACAGCAGAGGGGACAGTCAGAAAGAATGGCATCTGACATGGAAGTATATATGAAGAGAAGGTGTGTCAATGAATTCCTCCACATGGAAAAATGGCACCCACTGACATTCATTGACACTTGTTGAATGTTTATGGAGATGAAACGGATGTAAGCACAGCAAGGAAATAGGTACTACGTTTCAGCAGCAGCAATAGTGATGTGAAAGACAAGCCCTGTTTGGGACAGCCATGAAGACCGCTATCAGAGCGGCATGCAGGCTCTTGTTCATGGCTGGCAAACATGTATAGTTAATGGTGGTGACTGTAAAAAAAAAATAGTGTTTTGTAACTGAGAACTTGCTCTATTAAATAGCATTATTGTACTCTTTTTATCTGTTGTTGTTTCCATGGAAATAAATAAGAGGCATTACTTTCAGACTGACCTACATATATTTTCCTTTTTGGCACGTGAAACTAACAAAATAGTTATGATAAAATTTTTTCTTACTGCTAGTTTTCAGCTAAACTCAACGTCATTGAAAATGATGTGATGACACAGGTATACTGTTGAATAATACGCTAATGACAATAGAAAGAAAAATCCCAAAGAAAAACATTGCAACCTTTGTTGAGAAACATTTAAAATAGTCAAGAACAACCTAATGCACAGAAGTGGCAGTTTAATAACATGATTATTTTCATCTTTAGCCTAAGAAATATAGGTTCAAAATGGAAATATCAGATTTTGACAAGACCCTGTATAACTGCACAGGTTATGTCATACCATTCATAACACAGTTCAGCCTTTTTCAGATTAAAAGTTCTAGGTGTAAGAAAACCTTGGACATGAGGTGCAGACTTAGTAGATTTTTTTCGCCCTTCAAAGAAATTTATTTTGTACTCACTGGAAACTGACTCAGCAGCACACATGGAGTTTTAACCTTCTATTTGCTGTCGAGAAAGCAGCCTTTTCAGTGTTTTGAAAATCAACAAAACACTAAGCATGCGCTTAACATTAAACTTGAGCTGCATTTTCCCCAAGGTAAATGGGATGCAAATGAACCCTTGGTTGTTGTGCTTAATACAGACACTCTCTATGCCTCTGAACTGTTTTGTTGCCAGCTGACTCTTACAACTGAGAAAGAGATGTCAGTTTCATAGAATATGGATTGGATCATTTTAAGCTAGTACCAGCAAAAAGAAAACAGTTCACTGAGAGGAAGAAATATGCCTGATAATGTCACCTCTGCAAGCTTCTTGGATTAGTGCATGAAAATGGGCACAAAGCCCTACTCTAGCTTGTAGTACAGTGACATACCTTGTATTTTACTTTCATAATCATTTGCAAAAACACAGCTGAATGAGCAGCATGGAGCAGCTTGTGTTCATATCATAATATATAGCCTCTCAGTACTTCATGTCCAATAACACCTCTATGAAAATCAAGCTGCATTAGTCCTGCTTCTTTGTATAACACTTTGCATGACTACGAGTAGCAAGTGACAACAATTTCTCCAGTAACTGAGATTGATTATTGGTGCTTCAGCACATCCATAATCATGATGCATGCAGCACAGAGATGGAATTATTTTCATACACTGCCTTGATTGGTAGAAAAGACTTTTTTTAAAGTGAAGTGAATATTTATAGGATGTTTGCAATATGCTCTAGAGGAATGAGTATTGTGCTAGCTGTCAGATCTCTAGCCTACCGACTTGTGTGGCTCTGAGCACGCCATGCATGCTGACTACATTTGCTACAGTTCAGTCAATAGTCAGCACTAAGAAGATCTTACATCTACCACTGATTACCAGTCTGTAGTACTTGAGATACTTAGTACCCTGTTAGTAATAGTGAGAAAATGAAGTGAGCATGAGAACTAAGTGTAGTACAGGGTTGAAGGCATGGACAGGATGAATCTGAATTTTATTTCAGTGAAACTGATTTTACAGCTGTTTAACAATATTGACTTCAAAAGAGTTGCTGTAGATTGTTACTACTGAAGCGGTATGTATCTGTTTAGAGCAATGGGAAACAGTGCCTATCCTTCAGTGGAAAAACTAGCTTGAAAATTTTTTTCTTTACTTTTACAGCATGTTCTACAATGGTTGTTGGTTTTGATTTGTTTTGTGTTTGTTTGTTTGTTTGTTTCTCATGTTGTTTCCAAGATACTAAAAGAATTTAATATTTTAAAGAAGCCATAAAGTCCTTTAAGATAAAAAATATCAGATAGTAGCATTTTATATTGCATAACTCTAAATTTTGTTGAATAATGCAACTATTTTGAAGTACAGGTAACTCTTCTAAATGAGAATCACATCCTGCTGAAGA